CTTTATTATGAATTAGCTTAATAGATATGTTTAGATCTTTAGATCTGCTTAACATTTCAAATGTTCTTCATTTTAAAAAGCTATTGGTACATGTATTTGATACAAAATGCGGAAAGTGAGATTTCATTCTGCTTCTATTAATACATTTAATGCTTTTGTTCTTATAATGGGGCAAACATATGGAAATTAGATAAGAGAAATCAAGAAGAAGAAAAAACCGAGACTCAAAATAATACAGAAATTACGTACAATTGGATAAACATTATCGTGCCTGAATTAGGCAGATAGATTAGATAGATTGAAAGATAGATAGAAAGATAGATTAGAGAGATAGAAAAATATACATAATTTTGTATAGATGTATTAGATACTTAGATAGACAGATTGATTCGTTAGATAGATAGATTATATATATATATATATATATATATATATATATATATATACATATATATATATATATATTACATAGGTAGATAAATTAGATAGATAAATATATTGGATATGTAGTTAGATAAATTAGATATATAGATAGATGATAGATAAATTATATTACAAAGACCATATTGTTATACTTAAAATATATAGAAAGATGCAGGTAAGGTTTATATAATATTGATATGAAGAAGATACGATAAGGCAAACACAAAACCAATTTCGCACCCAACTCATTCTCGATTCTCGTATTTTCTTCCAAATTAATGATGTTAATGTTCGACTGGTGGATGTACAGCTGTAGCTTATATATTTTCTGTAAATACGCCTACCATCAAAATATTCACCTTATCAAAAAATTCTAACATTTCTGTGTTGTTTTGATTCTTTGTTTTTTTGTTTAAATAATACAAGTAAATGAAAGTTTTATTAACGATGTAAAAAGGCGTTGAAATTGGCATACAGGTCTACACTTCAGATCATTATAATGTGATGTTAAAAAAAAGAGACCACAGACAAAAACTAAATAAATTACTAACATATAGTATAATAACATATACGTTAAAGTTATGATTTAAAAACTAGTTCTATTCAAAACTTCCATTCTTGTATTCTACACTTAAAAGTTGTAATGAATATTATCAGATCTATTTTTGTAACATAAACTCAACAACTTTTGTATTTAGCATAGCAACAGGAACCATGGACTTGAAGTAGTTTTAGTGTAGGTGACGTAGTGTATAGTGATAATTCCTAGATAACTAGTTCTAATGACTCTTAAAGACGTACATGTCTGTCAGTGTCACTAATATTTATTTTCTACAAGAATTGACAAAATAATATCGATTTTCTTAGCTTGGGTATCTGTGAAGAAGAGGACCAATGTGTTGTGCGGTTAGAATACGACACTGGGGCACGATCCATTTATAGTGTACTGAATCATTCTTTATTTAGTATTGTTATGGCGGCATTTTGTCTAGCGACGAACAGGTGTATGGTTTGAACTGTTGCCTGCTTGTACAGCGTGGTTTTACCGCCTCGATTTTGGTGTAGTTCCATGGCGTAAGTTGTCTTAATTTTGAGGAAGAGAAATGTATTTATAAACACGTCAAAGTAATTCTCTCTGGTTGAAAGTTAGCTTCTTTGGATATTCGTGTATGGAAGATCATGTATATTGGTCAAAATTGTTTTGTAACTGTACAATGTACATGCGTTAATAATGATGATAATAATAGCTCACATTTATAATGCGCCAAATACTTTGTTTCTAGGCGCAGTACATATTACCCCGGTCATCGTATTCAGGTTTGCCCGCTCACAATATATGCACATTCTCCACTCCCTGGGGAGCATTCTGACCAGTCGCCATTTTACAAGCGCCACTTGCTCATCCAACTACATTAACTTTCGCATTCTACCGGGTACCCATTAACGTCTCGCCAAAGGACATTAGTGCCGCGGCGGAACTCGAACCCCGTACCTTGCGATCTGCAGTCGGGTGACTTATCCACTAGACCACAACACCTCTACAATCATGACACGATCTTATATGTTACCTTTGCATGGACCATACCCCTTACCTAAATTGGCGGGTGCTCCATTGTAACACAAATTTTGCTTCCCATTGTCGTTAGAAAGAAAGGAAGACGGAAACCACAAAATTGTCAGCAGTGAAAAACGGACTGTAAAGATTTCGTCAGGTGTTTAAGAGGTGGGCTCAACTTGACGGCAAATAAAGGCAATCAATTAATTAGGGCTGAATACCAGGGGTGAAAGATCGATCCTATAATGGGGGCTTTAAGAGGCCTCTCCTTGTGATCCGTCACAAACATCAATAACGCCATGGGGCTAGATATAAGGTGCTTAGTATACGATGAGTGACAGTTCAGCATCCTAACAGGCACATAGTTATCTCCATGGCTGAATAATGCTTGGTTTGAAAAACGGAAACAACAACTGAAAGGAAATCATGTTAGTTGTTACATTGTAAACAACAATTAATGATTTTTGTTGTTTGGCAGCTTTCATTTTGGTTTGACCTTGTTTTGGGTCGATAATGTTTATCAGCAGAACAAAACGGCACAAATTAAAAATGTTTCAGCTGCATTCGTATGTCAGGTTCTCTTCAAAGTTTATAGCGGGAGAGTTTTAATTTGATCCGAATCAATGTTTACATGGACCTACATTAGAATAAAAGTGTTTTCATTCATATATTCCATTCATCTATTTATCCAATTATTATTATTTTGTTATTCATTTTCTTGCTTTTAAAGTTAAATTCACTGTTTTTACGAGAATACACAAATAAAAAGCGAACACCATACCTACATCTTAATTAAAAGACCTTGATATTTTTTCTTTCGAAATAGTTACCTCGATGATTGATGATAGGCCTATATATAAATCAAGGATATTAAACTAAACGACACATTCACACCAACAACAAAACTCGTCAGACACCAAACTTAGCAATTTCATAAAAAACAAGCTTTATTTTCCTTTTCACCGCGCATAGACAATACGTTATGATCGTCATCGAACAAAATTAGCATATTGTCAACGTTAAATTGACATTTAGCGAATGAACTCATACAACATCTAAATACATATTAATTTTACTAGCGGCGTGGGGGCAAATAGGGCAATTGTCACTAAAGTAAGAAGGCATAGGCTAAATCTACATAATCTGCCCTCTTAAGACTTTCAAATTCGATGAATTACAACAGCAATTTACAGGTGAAATCACTCAAATTTATACGAAAAAAAAAATATGAAAAATAAACGACAATAAACCAAGACATTTGTTTCTGGCAGTCCGAAATAATAAGACTTTTGAACCTAGCAGGAGGTCAGAATTTTTTTTTAATTAGTCCGTATGAATATTGTTATAGTTTCCATCATTCTCTTTGTTTTCAATGTGCTTTCTAAATCCTCTTACACATAAACAGGAGATGATACATTAGTTGGAAATCTAGCAAACTAATAACCTCAGCTACAAATACTTGCCCTAATTTCTAACATGAAACGTGAACCCATGATTAAGCGCTCTAAAACATAATGCTGATGTATTTACTACCAATAATTGCGCCATCTATTGGTTAAACAACGCGAGGGTAGGGCAAATGATTAGCAGTGATCAACTCGCTCTCTAGATCTATTACGAAACTGTTTATTTCAATTATCGGAATACCATTCTACTGGAATATGCGAAAATAACTCATATTCTAAACCATGTAACGTCTAATGAAAAACATCTTTTCATACTATTACTGTTTGTTCTGGCAAAATGTCTAATTCTATAACTATTAAGATTCTACACTGCAATGCAATGATCCACTATTTCCTGAAATTACAAACTCATTTTTCACAAGAAAAATGCAGATTGGCCATTCATATCCACATCATCTTTTTCATGATTAATGTAAAATCCATATCAATTATTTACAAAAAGTACAACAATCTTGTACACATAAGCATATATTGACAAGGTTCAAGCAATATTTTCAAAAGTATAAAAAATACATGTTTCATTATGGAAAGATAACACTGAATGAATACATAATTTTGGCACATGGTTCTACAAAGGGATACATTATCTACAAACACAAAGGCTGAACTACAAACAATAAATAGTATAGATGTATACAATACTATTTACTGAAAATAACAGGACAGCCATAGATAGAAAAAAAACATGCGTAGGCCTATATATAACGATATCAAATTTTACACACACAATAGCTGAATGGAAAATGATATAACACGTACAGCTTCATAAACTAGGCTATTACAATATACTTATATATAATGAATGGTTTTGAAAATTGTATCACTTAAGAGCAATTTCTGATTGTGATAATACTTGGATATAGTTTAGAGGAACGGTACATGTAAATCCGGAAGATCATTAACTGACATGTCAACAGCGTCTGAGTATGGACTCATTCAAGGAACAAGTTCTTGGAATGCTTTCAAAACTTATGATAACCTAATGATCTCACAAAATTCCACAAAATGACGACGGGTCAAAGGTAATAAGTAACGCAGGCTGCTTTGTAATATTATTCTTAATACGCTAATCGTTATCTACCAGGTAAATAATCTGCTCGGAAAAAAAAGATTTAAAGGTACTATGTCCCTTTTGCAGCCAACCTCAAATGTTGTAGAACTTTGCAGGAATTATGAATATGTCATGTATGTCCTATCTGTGAAATTTAAACGTTAGCAGTGCCCTCATATTCAAATTATGCAAGGAAACCCGTTTACTTGCTAGACTTCACTGTCATACACTTGAGTGACTGACTGGCTTTTTTTCTTCTTTGGTAATAACATACATGAAAAGAGTTGTAAAGGGTACATGAGCATTTGTCTACATCAATAACCCACTTCTTGTGATGGCCAAGATTAAACTGATTGAATCTTTGCGCAGCATAAAACGCAAGACCATTCGGTACAATTGTCTGTAAATCAAGACTATTACTTTTGGGCTCTATAGCCCTAAAGTCGATTTGACAACTAATAGTCATTATTTTCCCACTTGAAGACATTTTCAAGCCCCACCTTTTTTAGGGAAGTTCTAAATTAGTATTATCTTTCAAATGCAGTTGGAATTTAACTTTTTCATTTTTTTGGCCTGCAAATGGGACATAGTACCTTTAAGGCTTGGCCGTGATTCGCACTCTCGCGTGAAGTACTAGACATGAAAAATGATGATCGGGCAGCATCTTATTTTTTCGTACTCAAGCGAGCCCAGATTCCAGTATGAACTCTTTTCTATACATAACAAGCTACGAAAGCTTGCAAAGAGGTCACAACAAATTAGACTAGGAACATTTATTGCTTTGCCTCACTATTCACAAAGGCAAAAAAACTGAATATATACTGAAATTAAAACCCACAACTCAAAAGTTCTATTAATCTGTCCTTACCAATTGAGCCAACGATGGTTTGATGAAAGGTCGGTTTGCATAATTATTATAACCCTATTAACAACTCCAACGGTTATCATGTGCACATGCGCAGGTTTCATTCACGAGCTCTATCTGGGCTCGCCGTGGTACGAAAATATAAGACGCATTCGGGCAAGAGTCATGCAGCCCGCACCTGCCAAGACAAGTCATGTATCCCTGTTACCTACAGTCATATTAAGTTTACTTTGTTTAAATTTCTATCTGTGCTCATCATAAAAATAGATTTGGCATGGTGGAATGGTGACATGGCAGATTCAATATTGTCTGTGCTAGATTTCAAGGGGGAGTACTGCTGCACCTCATCGTCTGGAGAGGTCGGACACTTTGGTTCGTCTTCGGACGGACTTTGGAATTCATCGGTTTTAAACGGACAAGATGAAGGCTTTATACCCGAGTCACACCGACAAAACCGACCCCAAAATTTACATTACCCCTATATGGCAAAAAACAAGACGGTTCGGAATCGGTCTGTAGTCGGTTAGGCGGTGTGACTGAGGTATACATAGTACAAGCGGAGAATATAATCGTGAAAATAGTACATCATTGTCCAGGTTCATGGGTTAAAGTTTCATCTCAGATCAATCAAGAGATGAAAAATGATTTGGCTAAACTTTGAGTATCTTTCTTCCCGAATAAACATCCGAAATCACTTCGTCACCGTCGATCGATTTTATCGGCTTTTCGGGAGGAGGCACCTCTATGTTTCCCTCGTCTTTTTCGACTTGAGGATCCGCCAGCTTTGGCGCGCTTTCTTCTGAAGAAATGGGAAGGTCTTCGACTTTACTGGTGGAGGGCGTGGCTTCTTCATGTTGAGAGATGGAGGTGGGGCTTTGTTGAGGAGGGGCTGGAGCCCGCTCTTTCTTGGTTGATGGCTTCCTCGCTACACCGTTGGCTGAAAGGTAAGAATATACAACTTCAGTCATTCAATGGTGAGGTGTTATTTTGTGGACATATTCATCATAACTAAATGACGGTCATAAGTTTTTTAAGTGTATAACAATTAAAAAAAATAATGTTATATAAGGTTGAAGACAATGAGTAAAAGGGTAAACAACTGCAATAATAAGATTAAAATAAAACACATAAAAAAGTTGTCAACGATAATTTAAATGGAAAAGGTATCTAGTTGATCTAGCAAGCAAATGAACTACAGTGTCAATTCAATACCGCAAACGTCTCCTTAATCTCAGAAAAAGTGCCTTTAAATTTTACGTATTCCCCAGTTGTTTTTCCTCGGATTTCTGTACCCATTTATGGGAAATGTTTGTCAAAAAATATCCCCTTTCAGATATTCCGAAATTGCATATGATTAAAGGGAAACAGGCTAGGGATTTACAGTAAGAGATTTAGTTGCCCATAAACGAACCTCCGGCAGCGCTGGTGCTGGGTGCGGCATCGGCACCAGTCATCTTACTCTCCGATGGTCGATCACTCAGGCGGCGTGTGTTGCCACTGACCACGCCCACTGGAGACCCCGCCCCTCTGTAGCGCGTCGCCGAACCACCATGTGCTCTGAGCAGCTGCGCCTTTGACAATAGGAACGAGTCGGTAGTCTGCATGATTTGTGGGCGTGGCCGGCCTTGGGGGCGACACCATCTTTGTGCGAGCGGGCGAGTAAGAAGCTCTCGTCCGTCTGGGTTGCCATGCCGCCCAAATGCGACTTCTCGTCCATCAGCTCTAAAGCTACCACGTTCTCGATGCCGAACAGCTCTTCAGATCTAGTAAAAATATAATAAATCTGGTAAAGAATAATGTAATTTACTTTTTTGTAACTTTTTTTTTAGAGAAACCGAGAAACTTTCGCGACATGATCTTTTGCGAATTATTGATAACGGGCGTTTTTGCGGAGCTTTTCGAAACTGTTGCAAAACTCGACCATGCCCGCGATTCCAAGTTCTGGTTTTATAGTAATTCTTTTTGATAAATGATGTTTTTATATTAACTAAGAAACTCTATTAAAAGTATTCTGCATATTTTCAAAAAACAGTTTTGATAACGTTAAGGAAATTGATCTTTATATTGCCATACGTTGCCGATTCCTCAATAATGTTCCTGCAAAGCTAATGTTGCGTCAATGTCAATGAATGATCCATTTGATCTCCTTTAATAACTCAAATCTTGAGTTTCCATGTATGCTCGTTTTTTCTTCTCTCTCTCTTCATATTTAATGCACTTTACAAGGATTTACAAGGATGATACCAATTAAAGTGAAATTTGTAAACTGATTTTCCACCTAACCAGAAACTCTTCTCTATTCGGTGAGATATCAACGGTGTAGTTAAACAAGCTGCATGAAATAGGGATGGCTAAGTATCCTTACAGGAATATAAATAACTTCTGCCAGTTTTCCATGCTTTAATTAATTAAAACAAATCTCTCTTTATTTCCCCATGGTCCAGGTAACCCTGTATATACGATACCTTCCAGTTCTAATGCGTCTCTTATTGAAGAGGTTGATACAGGTTCCGAGAAGGATAGCCAGAACGATGATACATGCTATCACACTCGCTGCAATGATCCCTACATAAAGATCAGCTGGAGAAAAACAAGAAATATGGAGCAAAAGTTATGAATCATTCATGATGTGTTTAGCTCAGGAAGAATATACAACGACTAGCTTCGTTATGAACGTCTACAAATATCAAATTGATTAAAAATCAAATTACATTTTAATTTATGAAACGGCGATGATTTTTCATAAACCAGAATACATCACGTTGAAGCAATATTCAAGGGGTAATAATTCAGACATGCAAGTTAATTGAATTTAAATGAGCAACTACAGCGTCATACCAGCACAACAAACAAACAAACAAACAAAATAATATGAAAAGTGTGACAAAATAAGATGAACGTGTACATGTAAGTGCAGATTCTATAATCATGCGATAGAACTTATAACGTACACAAATACGCAGTGAACAAAATTAGGGGTGAGTCTAGAAAAAATAAAAAATGTGAATGCTTAACAAATGAAATTGAAAAGAAAACCACTTTGATAAAATCATGATTGAATGTAAAACAAGCAGATAGAGATGTGAAAAAACAAAACAAAAATTATAAGGTGAACTACAAAACAATGAATGTGCATCCATACGTTTACCCTCGCTCTCATCGCGTATCTCTTTGTCACATCTTCCACCGGTGTAACCCTCTTCACAACTGTATAGACATAATATAAAAAGACAATGTTGAAATGGCATTATTAATTTTAGGATACCTTGGTAAAGCATGTATTGGTATAAAGTATGTAACTTTGATAATTTGACTAAAACTGAACAAGTATGATCTACTCATTGATTCTACTTCCAACTTTCAATTTATCGGTTCGAATCTTCCCCTTAGTACAACCGTAAAAAAGTACCTCCACGTATGTAATCTATAGGTTCTCCCATCCTTTCATTCATTCATTGTCATACACTTTTCATTCTATTTCATCCCGAAACTTCATGAGCTTCTAGATCTCGTGGTTAGATTTGTTTTTGGTACTTCATTTTCGAACTTTGTCAAATCGTTTTCATCATCATAATTTATGCATCCAATTTCGTCAAAGTTAATCAATTCGTCTTCAGGTTTCCAACGGACGATTAGATTGCATGAATCAATAATTTCGCCATTTTGCATCAAATTTCTTTTCTTTCTTTGAATGTCACAGAATTTTCGAACTTATGCCCACCCCCCCCCCCCCCCTTGCCAGAGAATCCTCGATCCACCAGTGCAATCTGCCATTCCTTGAATACATTTTTTTTAGCTCGTCATAGATTTTATATCATTTTGTCCCTGTTCTTTACAGAATCCGGGAACCGCCAAGAAGGGGTGGATTAGTAATTGAAAGGGTAAATCATTGGGGTGAGTTTTAAGGGGATGGGGTAAATGAATCAGCCATCCAAGTGTGAGTAAAAAAAAAAGGAGAAAGTTGTAGAAAACCAACGAATGTGGCCATGGGAAACCATTGCCTCCCCCCTCCCCTTCCCTTTTCTAGGTTTCGCCACCATGACAACGTTTCAAGAAACCATCTTTAGTACTATACTAGTTTATTTTTTATTAAAACGCGTTTTAACGTGATGTGATGTCGTTAAACTTGTACTGTACTTGTACTACGGTGCACAGAACTTGATTCTCTTACTGGCATGTGATGAATGGAGACCGTTTAGACACCTTCTCACATGTTCCATGATGACAGTAGTGTTGATTGGTCGTACAAACAGACGTACAATCATTCCCATCAGTAAAGCATGTCATTCCGGATGGACAACGGGTGATGTGACAGGCATCATCTATCCTATCGTACGATCCTTGACAAAATAAAAATGAGAATAAGGAAACGATAACAGTTACATTTTCATACATTTTAAAATGACTTGCTCTTTTTATTTTCTTCAGAGAAATTTAACTCGCATATTCGCGTCATTCAAATGCCCCCTTTTTTATTTAAGATTGTAATTTCGTTTAGGAAGTGTATTCCTCTATTAAACATTAATTCACATTTTCTACAGACATATTCTCTGTCTCCATCTCTCTTTCTCCCTCTCTTCCTCTCTCTCTCTATCTCTCATAGCCTCTCACCGGTATGTAACCGAGTTCATCATCCTTGCCTGTTTAAATCTTAGTCTGTTAAACTGTCTCTTGAAAACTCATTACCTTTTATTTTTACTGCATCTATATATATATATATATATATATATATATATATATATATATATATATATCTTATGTTTCAAATGTTGCCTAATTACCAAAGCTTGTGATCTTCTCTTCTTTTTTAACCCTTCTCACAAAGTGACAACATGACAATTTTTTGTCTGGGAGCAAATAATATAAAACGTTTTTTTTTTCTTTTTTTAATGACAGAAATAAGCCCACCTTGTACATTCAATACATAAAGCTTCTCAACACGAAGGCTTCCAAGGGTATTATTCCGCTCGACCATCTCGTAAAAGACCTTGATCACCTCTCGTCTTTCTTCTACCGTGATCCGCAATCTAAAGTCTAGTTTCACATTCGCTATGAGACTACCCGAACTGCAAAAGAGAGAGAAATTTAGGTGGGAATCACATAAATATTTACTAAATGTTTGCCACTGAATAGCGCCGGATAAATGAATGAGCTACACAACGGCTTTAATCCGACCCTGAATGATGCTCTATTTTAAATGGTTTCCCTGAAGAAGAAAACAAATCAGAATCCATTTTCATAAATTATACAACTTAGAACTGCTATTCATTATGTAAATAATACTTAAAGACGAAAACAAAAAAATGCAAGTTCATCCTAAGTAAAGAGCATGATCATAAAATGAGCAATGTAGTAATGCATTTACAAGCGCGTACGCAGGGGGGGGGGGGGGGGGGTCGAACCCCCTCAATTTTTTTTTGTATGTGTGTGTTTTAGAGGACAATTCTGTGGCCTTACCTAAATGCAATGGACGATGCATTGTAGTCCTCAAATTTCTCCTTCAGAATTGGATTGATCTAAGAAAAGAGATGAACAAATCAATTCAAACTAATGTTTAGACTTTAGATCAATAAAATGCATCAGGAACGATATAGTTACAGCTGATAGTAAAACTCGACCCGGCTATTCAATTCTGTGACATTTATAGACATCCACCACTAACATGGAAAATAAAATTTATTCCGGAAAAATATCAGGGGAATTGAGGGAACTTCAATAGAGAGAGATTGTGTTCAGTGTGGAATTATAATTATGTGGAGGAAGAAATTACAGCGCACATTCGTCGAAACTTTATTTGCCACATCTTGGCTATAGCATGACTATAATTTAAAGCAGACATCAGTAACTGGGGAAAACGGTAAAGGTGACGTCACATAAAAACAAAACAGAGGATCAAAGCGGATATTACTTACCGCATTTCTAATCTCTAGTCTTAGAGGCTCTCCGATATCGGTAGGCGATTTATCAGGCAACGTAAATTTTACTGTAACGGATTTCCAAATTCTCGGCCCTTTCTCTTCCTCATCTAAAGAACGAATAGAAAAAAAATGGCATCAACAAATATGAGGATACAGATACTCAAGAAAGTGAATTGAGAGAGTTTAGCTGGATAGAACAATATTATCATCACAAGACAGATACTATACGAAATTTACCAAATAAAAAGTATAATAATAAGTTAAAATCTTGAGGTGATGTAACAAATAAACTTAGTTAACCATGCAAACACGCAAATATAACTTTTGGTCAAAATAATGATAGCAAGGTACACAAGAGACAATCAACAGTTAATTATACTTGGGTAAAGCATCTTTTTGTGCTCCCCCCCCCCCCTCCGGATGTCAGGCCCATCCTCTGACCACCGCCCCACCCCCAATGACCATCCCATGACTATCCCCCTTTAAAATACATTGTCTTCTTTAAATTTGAAAAATTTGAACTTGGCATCGGGACTTCGAAAAGATCGTCTGAACAGTTGAAATACAAACTGACTCTAAGACTTACATTTTACGGAAGTTAAAAGGGGAGACAAAATCAAAGAATTAAAAAAATAACATTGTTTACGATGAAATATCCACCAGAAACATTCCCACAAATCTGTCATTGCAGCAACACACATTTTTTTAGATGTCAAAAACTGAGAGTTCAGAATTAGAAATGAAGCGCCCTCTCCCAGATAATAAATGTCATTTTAAAATGATAAATGAGAGAGTGCGTCACTCGATCAATTCTACCAAACATTAATTTCCCCTATCTGATTTAATCGTTTTAAAACTAAATATACAATACAATACAAATGTTTTCAGTTATTGTAGTGTATTACATTATCATTCAGCATAAATGAGAATGAGCCAAGTAATTGATCGTATCTAATATCTTAAAGAAAACGAGAAAACAATAATACTATGAATCGGCAGCTGCACATTATTATGTACATTATTGCGATGATTTGATCATCTTTCCACATCATTACTTAAAAACTCCCAAATCACACACACACGCACACAAACAATACCTGGTATGAATGTTGTGAATGACTCTTCTGTCGTCATGGCAACCGTCTCATCATCCATCGGTAGCGTTGTGATTTCCTCTACGTACTCCTCCTCCGCCCCCATGTCTGTTGGCCCTTCATTGACTATGAAATCCGTTACCAGCTCAGTGGTAGGATCTATAGTGGGTACTATGGGGGGGGGGGTGTAAATAGGAGGAGCAAAAGAAAGAAGGTGGGTTAAATAGAAGAAGAAAAAACATGTGGCAGTGATTCTTATTTTTTGTGAATTTCGCAAGAAGGCAATTCGCAAGAATTTTTTTAAACGGGGGGTTGCATCAACGACGTTTCTACACGTAAGTATGAACGGTACAAATTGGGGATGATAATGATCTAATGCCATCCTTTAAATAGCGAAAGATGATAGAGGAATGTATCTAAATATAACTTTCAGATTATATAATACACGTACTTCAAACATAGTGCGAAAATTGGGGTAAGGATGAGTGGGACAGATCCGGGGGGGGGGGGGGGAGGTCACGGGCGTCCGACTTCCACTTTTTTCGCTTGACATAGATTTTTCTTATTTATTTGACCCCTTCCTTTTTGTTAGATAACCTTTTTTCTACTTTTTTCTTGTCATACTTTTTTTTCAGGATTCCTCCTTTAACAATTTCCTGGATCCGCCTCTGGGGGTGATTATTATGATATCTATAAGTAACCTTCACTGAGCGATGATAATGGAGTGACATAAAGCATGTCTAAGAAGCATTTTGTAAAGTGCTGGTATATTATCTCTGCTGAACGGTCTTCTCATTTACTACAGGAACTATCTAGAAATATTTTGGTGAATCTTTCCTTCTGATTTTCTGATATAACTTAGGTTTCTGAGCGAATGTAATAATAAAATCAGCGTCTACATCCAATCTGAAATTCATGCTAGTAATATAATGCTTCACTAATTTTAATAATTAAATGATAAACATTATGGTGTCAAGAGAGTGAAAGAAAGGGAGAGAGAAAGAGAGAGAGAGATATGGGGATATTGGTAGTAGAATTGAAATTTTATCACGCATCATTGATTTTATATCATTCTTTTCAGGAGCGTCGCTGAAGATCATTTTGAAAGGAGGGGGTCAGACAAAATATAGGCAACAGCATATAATAACACTTCACACGTGATATTGAAGTATTGTAGTATTCATAACTCTTCTCGAAGTATCTATATCATAAAACAGGAACAAATTTGGTCTTTGACCTCCAAAGATCCATGTTTTCCACATTCCGAGGGCTTTTTGTCTTTTCATTCCATGAAAAATATGAAAAATTATTGCGCATTAGTTGAATTTTAATGCAGCCCTACCTAACAAATCAGTGCCCTTGTTTATACTAAATCTAAACAAAACTAAAAGCTTTCAAGTATGCAAGATAAGTCTGTGCAAAAGTCGTGACCTGTTTCGGGTCACGTGTCTAGTCTAACAAACTCAGACACGGTGGGATTAAACACCAATCGTTCTGGTGGTTGACAAAATTAAATATTTATATACATTACGAACCAGTGCTTTTGGACTTGATTGACAAAAATTAATTTTAAAAATGCGCCTAGTTTGATACATTCTACATGTATAATGTACACGATTTACATTATTAGTTAACTGAGACAGAGCACTGCTAGCGATATGAGGGGGGGGGGGGGGGGTGCGACACCTAGGCTTCTTAAATTCAATATTTCTGGCCTCCTTTCCCCAAATCTATTGTTATATTTCATCCTAAATATTTTGCCCCTTTTCTTGTATCGATTACAGTCGGCAAAATTATCAGAAACTCCCATGAAACTTTAAATAGCGATGCCCAACGTGTAAAATGGCGAGAACTGTGTCTGCAAGATAGACATGGCCACTCTTTCCTACAGTTTGTTCTCGCATCCTTATAATTATCTTCAATTTTATACGTTCATTTATTTATATAACAATACTTCAAAAGCTACTGTTCTCACAATAGCACTTAATAACTCGCGCGCTCTCTCTCTGTCTTTCTCTCTCTCAATCTCCCTCTCTATCATATGTCTTTCTCTCTCTCTCTCTCTCTCCCTCTATATATCTTTCTCTCAATTTTCCCCGTTTCTGTTTTGACTGTGCCTGTGAGCATGACTACCTTTCCACACGTTGTAACAGGAGACGATTTGTATTTCCACGATGGTGTAACACCATACTCGTGTCAGTAATCCTACATACTGTCAAGATCGAGGTCGAGTTGTTAGAGGAAGGAGGTTAAGAGAGGTCATCTATCTCGAGGTCAGAGGTCAGCACACCGCTCCCATGCCCAGGGCTTGGTATAAACACAGCACCAACCAAGCCCACATAATTATGTGAATCAGTGCACCAAACACTATTTAAAGGCCTTGGTCATAATTGTTACCATAGTTTTTAATACGGCTCCGTAATTTCCTTAGATATTTTCCTCCTCGCTCAGATTTGTGAATTAAGTATATTAAATGAATAATTGAATATTGGAATGTACTATACTTGAATTGTAATTAATGAGAAATAGAATATAACGCAATAAAACATCATCACATACATCGTTTCGTTTGCCAAAGAATTTTCTTAGTGATTACATGGGTAGGACTTCATACCCCTTCTCAAATTGATTCACAGTGAGTAGGTTGCACATGCATGTGTCTAACAGCTACCACATTAAATTGTAATTATCATATCACAATAAAGTGCATGGTTTAATTTAACCAACTATTCGAAGTAATATGCTATGCGTTTCAATGGCGACCGTAACTTCGTTGTGGGAAAGCTACTGTCATCTGGGCCCCGTTGCAATTGATCCAAATCAATCGCAAGTTTGCAATCTCTAATCTCTTATGTACATGGTTACGATTGATATCAATCGCAAATGAGTTACGATTAGTCGCAACTGTTTATAAGACAGGGCCCTAGATATCTGCTTTTCTATTCCTGCTTTCACCCTCCAAGATAAGCGAGAAAAGGAAAAAAAGAAGGAGGAAGAAGAAAGACAGAACGTGATTTTAAAAAATGTTGCAACTGAGGTAAGAAAGACAGCCTCTCTGCACTATCTTCATTATGTTGACGCGTGATATCTCCATTTTAAACATCTCAGTTGAATGAAATGTAAATATGCCTAGGATATTCCTTCTTTGAAATTAATTGGAAACTCACCCCTTCTCTGCGTCAACACATTGCTGACAATCATATCAGGACATGCTAAACTGCGTAATGTAAGATCCTAAATCGTGTTTGGTTACCACGCAAATTTAAACGAAGCGCTGGGAAATTAGTTTACGAGAAGCAAGGTGTCGACAAGATTACAAATCAGTATATATTTTGGAGGAGAGCTCATATTTTAAGCTGAGAGATACAAAAACGTGTCTACATGAGTAGAATCTGGATGTCCCAGAAGACCTAGATACAGTGGAAGAGTATTGAAAGAGAAGGCAATCACAGCAGACTACCCGACATAAACCTGGAAATACACCGATTCCTTCGTAATTGTAATTTTACTTCAATCAGAGCTCGTTCTGGTAGACGAATGCATTTATTATCTATTATTTATTTATTTTTAGCACTTATTCTCGGTGAGCTGTCGTTGCCTAAAAGAAAACATTACAAATAAAGCAACGACAACAAGTTTGCAAAGCTTGCGATGGTGGAATTGAACCTCGAGTTTGTACAGACTATAATGTGAATTTTGTTGACACTCAAACAGCATTTTCATGCCATGATGACATATTGCAATGTTTGCTATTATATCTCATAGATATTGGTTTTGAAACGTAATAATAATGTGATTTTGTTTCCACCTCAAAAGTTGAAAACCATTGAAATTAATTAAGGCATGCAGCTCGTAATAATTATTATAAGGCATGAACGTATTAGTAGACTGATATCACCGAAATTCTGACGTTGTCTTTAAAGTCTTTAGAGAGGCTGAAGAAGAAAGGATGAAGTGGAATATAAAACGAAAACTGTAGGAATTAGAAAGACACCACCCGGGTCACGTAGACAATGGGTTGACCAAGAATCTCCATACACTCCACCTCCTCCCCCAGATTTCCCTAAGTGAAAATTTCCAACGAAAGAAAGCCGGTAGAATCTTTTCTGCTTAGGGGATCATGAATGCATTCTGCCATGCATCTAGGTGAGCCAGAGATGGCTGATGGGAGATCACTAATACCTCAGTCACATCGACGAGACAGACATCAGACTGACATCAGATTGATACCAGTCCGACAGCGGGCCGACAGCAGACCGACAACAGACGACAGCAGACCAAGAACAGACCGACATTAGACGACATCAGACCAATAACAGATCGACAGCAGATTGACATCAGACGGCAGCAGACCAATAGCAGATCGACAGCAGGCCGACAGCAGACCAATACCAGACCGACATCAAACTGACAGCAGACCGACAACAGACGACAGCAGACTGATACCACATCGACACCAGACTAACATCAGACCAACAGCAGAAGGACAGCAGGCTGACAGCAGACGACAGCAGACCGACAGCAGCCCGACAGCAGGCCGACAGCAGGCCGACAGCAGACGATAGCAGACTGACAACAGACTGACAGCAGACCGACATCAGGACAGCAGGCTGACAGCAGACGACAGCAGACCGACAGCAGCCCGACAGCAGACCGACATCGAAAGTACAGCAGCCGACAGCAGACAACAGCAGACTGACAGCAGACCGACAGCAGGCCGACATCAGAAGGACAGCAGGCCGACAGCAGGCGACAGCAGCCCGACAGCAGACCGACATCAAAGGACAGCGGCCGACAGCACATCACAGCAGACCGACAGCAGACCGACATCAGAAGGACATCAGGCCGACAGCAGACGACAGCAGACCGACATCAGCCCGACAGCAGAGCGACATCAGAAGGACAGCAGGCCGACAGCGGACGATAGCAGACTGACAGCAGACTGACAGCAGACCGACATCAAAAGGACAGCAGGCTGACAGCAGACGACAGCAGACCGAAAGCAGCCCGACAGCAGACCGACAGCAGACTAACAGCAGACTGACAGCAGACTGACATCAGAAGGACACCAGGCCGATAGCAGACCGGCAGGATGACACCAGACGACAGCTGGCTGACATCAGACCGATAGCAGGCCGACAGCAGACCGACAGCAGACGAAAGCAGACGAC